ACAAAGCAATATTAAACCGACCAAGAAGGCCGGCGATGTTTATAACACAATAAACGGGCACGCAGGCCCAAAGAATACGAATACAAATATCAAGGGCACGCAGGCCCGCTATCCTATTCAAACTTCCACATTATCATCATTGTCGACGCCAGGAGAGTCGGGCGGAGGAACGATCATGCCACCTACAACCCGGTGTGTATGACCGATACCCTCAGTAATCAGACCGGGGTTTAGCAATGAGAGCTGATCGACTGCAGAATTGAACCCGTCCTCCAGAGCACCGACGCAGTCCACCTCGAGGAGCCGGATGTGGGCGACCAGCTCCGCCCGACTCTTCAAGGCTTCTATATCCTCGGGCTCATCTTCGGCAGGTTGCAGGACAGCATTCATTTCCTCAACCTGTTTACCCAGGCGCTCGACCTCAGCAGCCAAGCGATCCCTGTCGGTCCGGAGCAACTCCCCCTCCTCAGTCAGCCTCCCCGACTTCTCCTTTTCCAGGGTCAGCATTTCCCTCTCGGCATCAAGTATCGCGGTCTGCTCTCGGAACATCTCCTCGGAGCGTTCCAGAGCGGCCTTCAACTTCCGCGAGCTCGCAGTCCAGGCCACCTTCTCCCGCTCGAGCCCTTCGACACGAGCAGCATCCCCTGCATCCTCAGACAACACCAAAGCCATTTCGTCCATTTTTACCAGCCCGTCCACGCTGGCGGCCAGATAGGCTTTCCTTTCTTCTTTACTCATCTTCTTGATGGCCTCAGCTTCATGAGCGACCACTGTCGGAGGGAATCGCTCAAAAAAGCCCGCCTCCTCGAAGCAAGGGGGAAAGGCAAAAGATTGAACAGCACCGGCATCTTCCCCGACAGTCGAACCGCCTTCCACTCGGGTCCTCTTCCTCTGCGTCAAAACGGCGCTGGGGTCAATCTCCTCGACCTCTGGATCTGACGCTGCCCCCGAGCTCGACGTCGAATCCACCCTCACCGGCTGAGGAGCGTTCAGGCTTGGTGGTGGTCCCATTCTCGTCGTCTGCGGGGCCTTTACGACCCTCTTGCCTCGCCTCTGGTCGGTTGACAATTTCAGAAGCCTTTCGTGTCGGCTGGCCATCGTACCTGCACGAAATAAAGGAAAGGTCAGTATCGAGCAAACTGCATAAATAAATGACGAATAAAGAATTTCAAGCAAACAACCTAACAGGCGGGCAGCCTGCCTATATGTCGAGCACTCCACCAGCGCCTTGGTATCTATCGGGCGGGACTCAAACTTCGGGTAGCCGTCTTTGTCCAGGATGTCATTCCCCTCCCGCGTAACCCATTGGGCGGGATGAAAACTATCGACAAACCGGCAAAGAACCTCGTACGCCCGCTGATCTTCCGTGCACATATCCCCGACTGCGGTATGGAAATAACCTGTCCCGTGCTCGTAGTGTCGGGACATCCAGTACACCGGAAACCTAGCCCTACGTCCTAACACGGGGCTCCCGTCGTCGGCCAACATCGCTTCCCCGTCATCATCGCTGACCGGCCCCTCCTCCTCGAAGAGGGAATCTACAGCAGAGTCGGTAATAGGGCGTACCACATACCACTTGTCCTTGAACCCCCTCACGGAGTCCATATACATCTTAAACAGTCTCCTCGACTGCTTCAGGGACACCCAACTGTGCTTCCCTCCTCGGGACTGACGCTGCAGGTGAAATACCCGAAAGAAAAGAGGGATGGTCGCTCCTATCCTCAAGTAGCGACACGTCAACTCAAACGCCCGGATGAAGGCGAGAGAGTTTGGGTGTAGCTGGGACGGGGCCAGCTCCAAATGCGTAAAGACTCCGGTCTGAAAATCTGTGAACGGCAGCCGCAACCCTAAGTCCTTAAACGCGATCTCATACATCGCGAAGCTGTAGTTCGGGTACACCGAGCAAATTCTTGCATTGGTCGACGGAAGCATGACCACGAAGTTCTGCTGGAAGTCGGGCTGGTCTTGGCCCTCTTCAATGGCGGTGAAGGGATGTCGGTCATCCCGGCTATATATTGACGCTGTCCCCCGAGGCTCGACACCCACCCATTCCAACAATGGGTCGGTCACGGTATCTATCAAGGTGGCCGACTCGTCGGCACTCTGTTCTTCGCGATCACGACGTCCGGAGGAGCTCGGCTCGTCCGCCATGGTTACCTGCAGAGCACGGGAAACCAATCAGTTGAGCACGAAGTCCTATGCTCGACATAATCATGTCGTCCATACACGACTACACAAGTCCGTTTTCACAAATGGATGTCTCCCCGACTTTCCTGAACCCAGTGTTCTTCCTCAAACTAACCGCGCGGCCACTCTCCAAGCATGTCGACCCAAGGTATGAACATAGCGAGCCGCACTATGAAGCCCACGGCCACGACCATGAACATACCGGGCACGGTCATGAATCAGGCGCCCAGGATCATGAAGACCCCGGGCAGCTCTGAAGTTTTTCACCTAAAACTATGAATGTGTCGGCCACGAGTATGCGTTTGCCGATCCTAGACATGAATATGTCGGGCAAAACACGAGTCTACCGGGCTAATCCCACGCGCGCGATCCTAAAAAATCTACAAATTCCAGGAATCATGCATTCTAAAACGGAAAAATGAAGAAAGTAGATCACTTACTTGGATCAAAGTTTGGGATTTGGCTAAGAAATGAAGAATCTGAGACGGGAAGTCACAACTGGAGAGAGTATTGAGAGCGGCAACGAAGAGAGCACGGAGAACGGAAAACGTATTATGGGGCCCAAGGATCCTATTTATAGTAATGACGTGGAATACCAAACGTCACCTCGTTCAACCACGGACTCCATCTCCTCGACGCGCTGCTCCCAACGCAATGATGCCCCTACCCCCCTAGGGTGGCGGCACAGCTCCCGAAAGATGCCTCGTGTGCTCGACCGACGCACCCCGGTACGGATCCTCCACGCATCCACCACCGAGGACATCCCCGAGCACGACACGAGGAGGCCCCTCGAGGGCCCACACCTCCATCCCGGGCACGAGACCTCAACGACGGAACAACTTGGTTTCAAGTCATGACTCCTCGCAAAGGAACCACGACTTGGGGGGCTCCTGTTCTGGACTGGGCCCGACAGGCCCAAAGGCATTACTAAGGCCCAGTCCAAAGGGACTCACTAAGGACCACACTGGGCGAAGGGGGTCACGTCCATGCCCGACACCCTAATGCAAACCTCGACATGCCGATGTCCAACCCACGCGGTGAAGTCATGCTCGACACCCTGCCGTCAGCTCCATGTCCTGGCATCCAGCTCGACAGCCGCCGTCCAGCTCGAGGTCCTGGCGTCGAGCTCAGCACCGTGCTGCCCATCTCGACATGGTCCCGAGCTACCCGGCTAGGGCAGACTCAGTCCACCGTTCCCCCAACGATACTCCGGAAAGACCGCGTCTCCGTCCGCCCGCACTTCACGCAGCACATCCAGGAAGGGGACCACGTGCTGGTCCCCACTACCCACGTAGAACCTGGCAGTTCCTCCATTGGGCCAAATCCGCCCGGCCAATGAAGGAACCTTGGCCCAGCGCTGGGGGCTATAAATACCCTCTGTTTCCAGAGGGTCAGGTATTCATCATTCGAACCTCAACTCTATTATCTGCTCGTACTCCCACTGACTTTAGCATCGGAGTGCCTTGCAGGTACCCCCCCCCCCCCCTCCTCGTTCAAAACAGCCTTCAGCTCGGAGCAGCCGTGACGGTCCAAACCTTCTGATCAGGTCAGATCAACAGCCTTCAGCTCGGAGCAGCCGTGACGGTCCAAACCTTCTGATCAGGTCAGATGATATACATAAGATTACATTCTTAAATAAATATTATATAAAGAATACGATAAAAATATATTTTATGATAATAGTATTTATAAATAAATAATATTTCATTTTTTGTGATTTGTATGTTAAAATACATATCATACAAAGAATATGATAAAATATACACATAATACATGTTGATTTCTCTAAATAATTAAAGAAATATATTGGTTAATAAGATTTAATAACATAATGCGGTTTGGTTCGGTTCGGTTTACAAAATACAAACCGCAAACCAAACCAAACCACGCGGTTCCATTAGAAAATGATCCAAACACATCCGAACCAAATACAGTTTTTTGCGGTTTCGATTTGGTTCGGTTTTACGATTTTTTCTTAGGCCGGTTTGATTTTGAACACCCCTATGCATAAGAGCAGAAAGAACAACTCTCTTTTTTAATTCTCGCAAATTAGAAGATTTTAATTTTTGAATAAAAATAAATCCCTAAAAACTCTCTCCACCCAAATCATTCTATTCTTTTCTCTAAATCCTTCCCTTTTTAAAGTTCTCCCCTCTCCTCACCCTCTCCTCCAAACTCTCAAACAAAGCTTTAAAATAGTTTTCCCTAATCAATAACATTAATTGATTTTCATTTTAAACATTCCACGGGAGAGCAACACTATATCTTGATCATTTTATTTGTAGATATTTTATTTGTAGATATTTATTGATAAAAAATAAATTGTCTTATAAAAAAGGACGAGATTAGGAGATACATTAGTTATTTAATTAAAATATAAAAAGTAAACTTTCTCAAACAAAATAAAACAAATATTATAAACAAAACAAAACAGTGGGAAATCATCAACCACTGCCTATTTGCATTTCTTTCTCAATCTAATCTAATATTTAGTAGCAGTAGGTGGCAATTCACTCGGTGTATAAAACACAATTGAGATTACAAAATTGACAACTCAAACCTCCTCCTCTTTCCCCTTAACAACGTAATAAGTCAGGGGAGGTTAACAGGAAGCAAAATTTATCTGGTAGAATTCTAAAAATAGAGGGAAAGGACAAAAATGAAAATAAGTAAACTATTAGGATGTAGGATGATAGGTATAAATGATATCATTATAGGTCATGCAGCTACGCAACCATGCTGGTCTTGGTCTTCAATCAACGACAGCAAGATCTAGGAAATCAAATGTCATTTACACCTGTGTATAAGACCCACTATCGACGTCCTCCTCTGCCATGCCCACGGCCCCCTCTGCCACGGCCACGACCACCACCGCGACCGCGACCACGACCATTAAACCCTGATCCCTGGGGCTTGAGCCCCAATGATTGAACTCCCCTCTTTTTCCGGGGATCCACTTTAACTACGTCATCTTCGTTGTATGTTGCTTTGTTTCTTGAAGTGAAGGTTATTTCCCGTGATCCTCCAGGACCCTGCTTAACACCTCGTGGAATATTAGAGGTTCTTCGGTCATCTTTTAGAGCTGCCACTCTATCTCCCATAGGAAGTGATTCCTCAGCTGCAAGTGATTTTTGGCTCCAGAATGCCTCTGCATGCTGCTCATTCTTAATTTCATACATCCTACACGGCATGTGACAATGGTTAAGAAATCAAACACTCACTAAGTAAGTTCGATTACATGATCAAACAACATCATAAGGTCTATCATATATATAATATTTTTTATCCTACTCATTAATCTCTAAATCTATCTTAGTAATTTTGTAGTCTTTCTCTGCCTCTAGTGATTTTTCAACCCTTCATCTGATCTACTACTCTCAGCCAAGTTTCCACCAACTTTGTTGTCATTTCTAATCATATTTTGTCAAGTTTTACCATACATCCAGCACAACATTCTCATTTCTGCCACGTTAACTTATTAAAGAACGAAATTAAGGTACCCCACATTATTTCCCGTATAAGAAAAGCAGTGTCATTTATTACAGAAACTCTATTAAAATGCACCCTAATAATATGATGATTCAACACATTTACCTACCATAATAGGAAAAAGAACCATACAAACTGGTGTAACAGATTCTCACCTTGGAACTCGAGTTTTCTCATTTGTTTTATTTGCAGGTTCATCTTCCGATGATGCATCATCTTCACCAAGACTTTGATCATCATCAGACACAGGTTCAAAATGCTCTGTTAACAAGGATGTTTGCTTTTTAGCACCCATGGGATGCAACGCCAGATATTCTTCAGAGTTCTCATTAATCTCAAATTCCTGCCAAATGTTAGTAATAATTGTCAGAGACGTGTCTCACTTAAAGACGATGCAGTCATAACCATGCATAAAAAAAGCAATTGTGTTAAAAAAACTCATTGAAAGCATAAGATCAAATCAAGCATCCACACGAACCATTAAATGAAACTGAGCGAAAATCAATGCGAGCTTAACATGATACTTTTGTAAGCGGAAATTTCAATAGATCACTAATTAGGACTACATGAGATTTAAAGTAAATCCCATCCAGCCTGTTGGTAAAGGGGAAGTTGCAGTTAGGAGTGGTGGTTTGAACCTTCACTTTTCAGGATAGAGAAGGGCTGAGGGTTGAACATGAATTATTAAAAAAGCTAAAAATCTGACACATTTCAGATCACAGTACCTTATTATCAAATATATCTTTAAATCTGTCATCTTCAAGATCTTGCATGCTAAGCCCTTTCTTTTTCTTGGATGATTTTTTAGGTTCATTCTCTTTAACATCATCTCTCTTCTCATTTTCAGTATCTTCAGTTTCAATCAGGCGAGCTGCAAGGGCCCGATTAACTTTGGGTAATTTTCTCTTGATCTGCAAGGAAAGTGATTGATGCATTGTCATAGATTAATATTTCATTATAAACCACTTAATCACCCTTAACGACGTAAAATACGAATAGAAAACTAAAATGCTTAGTAAAGCAATCAACCGTAATTCTTGAGGCCCGTTCAGCTTCTAATTTATCTCGCTTATGCTGTTCATAATAAGCTTCAAATTCAAAAGGATCCGCCAAAGTTTTTGCCTGCAAGATTTAATATGTCATATACAAGAACAAAAGCAGAATCTAGGTCTGGCGATAAATAAGAAACAACCATTATGGCACTTTTCTAATCAAGCAAAGATATAGTAGAGATTTTCATAAAGGTAAAGATTTATCAAAGTAACAGGAGGGGGAGTATGAGAAGCAGTGGATCCATCTGATAACAAAACTTTACCTATAGGTTCCCAACTCCCTTAACCACCTAACTCAAAAGGTAGTCAAATGATATTTCTTCTATGATAGACTAGCAAAAGCTTTTTGCTATGCTCATTATTAACTGTCCTAACAATATCATTCCATTAGGCTTGTAAATACTTTTTTTATAAAATTCATATCATACAAAATTTGGCGAAAGACTGAAGATGCTTAAAAATAGGGAAAAAAGAATAATAAATAAAGTTCACAGCATTTCAGGAACTTGTGAAATATGTCTACATGAAAAAGAAAATATGTCGAAGACAACCTACCTTTTTGTATAATGCATAATTAATAAAGTAGCCGTGCAGGCAGGCTCTAAGTACATCGGTGCCAATCAGATGCGTCAAATTTAACCTGTCAAGCTCCTCCTTGGTCAAAAATTGGTAATTATCATAAATAGTTGTTTGTCCACTCGTCTCTAGCTCCTCCTGTAAAAATAGTTATGATGTCAATAAACAAAAGAGAGAATGAAGTGTAATAGAAATACCAGAGTAATTATGATCATACTGTGAAATTTTCTAGAGAAGAACACCACTTAGGAGCAGGTCCGAGGGATGGTATGAAGTAAGATGGTATTTGGCTACAATCCAAGGCCAACAGGATCAAACCACTACCAGGAAATGTACACACATCATTTATTGCTCCTGTGGTTGGTTCAATGCTGGTTAAGCCCTCTCCCTGAAAACAGATTACAATCGGTCATATGACAACAAATGGTAACGAACACAGAATAATGCTGCAATTGCACTTAGGAAGGCAATTCTGAAAGGAAATTGAGTATTTTGGGGTGTCCAAGTCCCATATCAAATAGCATGGGATGCTCGGTGGAGTGGAGTATTTAAGTGGCTTGGTTCTTCTCCCTTGATAGCTAACTTTTAAGGGAGGGCTCCACAAGTGTTTAGATACTTATCACATTCCAAGCCCATCTAAACATAACATGCATGAATTTTGAATTTAGTGTAGATATTGCAAACACATTATTTATAAAAATATGGTGAAAGTAACAAGTGACAAGCAAACCACAATATGAAGGTACTACTGACTTGAATATAATTAATATAATCTTCCAAAAAGGATTTTCGAATTGATTTACTGATAAAAGCTTACTAGACTCACCTAACATATGTTTAGTAGTCAAAATTAACTTATCAGCTGCTACACAGTTAGAGAAGCTACAAATTTTGTCGAGTGTTTGAATTGGCTCCCTAACATAAAACATAACACTATAACAGAACCGGTACAGTTCAGTTAAGACGTTAACCGTGTTAGGATATTGGTTTAGGCCTTAGTACAAACCAAATAAATAGGAGTTGACTCAATTAGTATTCCCCATATAAATAGGAGTGTATGGGGCAGTAGCTAGGTATAGTATTATTTTCTGTTGTTCATATTAGGGTTTGGGCAGTGAGAGAATTGTTTTCTCGGACTGAGGAGCAGTATCTCTGGAATTACTTTCTGTTTTCATATTCATTAATAAAATAATTTTCTCCATCATATTCTATCTCACCTCTATTCTATCACACCGCTTCTCAGACAGAAAGTTGCTCTATTCTCTTTTTCCTTTTCCTACTTTTTTTCTCATGGTTTCCAGCATTTTCTCACTGGTTCTTAATTTCTAACACTGGTTAGTAAAACTTGTACAAAATAACACACTAAGATCATATTTTTACAGTCTGGCATGTTCCGATAATTATCTCCAAAAGATAGGATGTGGTATGGTATGGTAGATATTCCAAACATGTCTCATTGAATGCAGGGATTGATCTACTCATATACTAATAACTTTGTTTCTCTCAATATTATAAGGATTATTTTTATTAACTACGTACATCTGAACAGATAACTTCTGATAATGTGCAACTTTGTGTCCAACATTTCTGCCTATTTATTCTACACATAAACTTTTCTGTCTACTGATTAATCAAAATTTATAAATTATAACTCAAACCTAATGTTTATTTCCGAAAATTTCCAACATCCATCATCTCTTTTTTAGCCTACAGCAGCCAATCTCCCACTATCACTACATTTGAAAAATAGTCATTCAATGTTTCTATGAATTATTATACTAAGGAATGCTTGAAAATTATCATGTCTTTCAGCACAATTGATATTTCTTTCTCCTAACAGAATGTATATGATTAATAAAAACAGACACTAGAACAAGCAATTTAATGAATGAAAATCGAAAACAACCCTGAAGAATCAGGTAGAGATAAATTTAGAGGCGATGAACTGTCAGTCAGAAAATATGAGAACAGGAACCAATTCACCTACCGTGTCAGGATCCCATATTCGAACGACATGATTATCACTGGTAATCAACATTGGTCGTTCAAAGTTAAGAGTACGATGCCACTTAATATCCAAAATGGGGCTGCCATACCTGTATGGCAATTTTTAACCAACAACCGTTAATACACAACACACACATATGTGATACAAATAAATCACAAACATATCTCTAAATTGAGGATGCCAACTTACATATGATCCTGTATTCGTACAGGAATTGATGAGCGCAAGTCATAGATGAGTACCTGCATGTGCAATATCAAATGTAAATAATAACCACGTTGAAGGGGGAAAATATAACCATGGATATTTAGTTTAGCTAGTGCCATTGTGAATCTGTGACACCACAACAATTACAAAAAATACAGAAAACTTTTCCATATTCTATCCTGTCACGAGAAGGTATCCTATCTCCATTTTGTGATCACAACTTAAATCAGCTATATGTCTTCAGAGACTGTAAGTGCTTATCACTTCTAAACAAAAAATCATGAATTTATGGGCCATGTAAGGCATAATAGCTTATCTTCTCTGACTGTGTGGATTCTCTTTGAAATTCAACCAACATTAGTGCCTAATATCATACCGACTGTTAAGAGATATAACAGCAGTCCCAAAATACATCAAAATCTAGTATTTACTTAGGCAACCTAAAATACCCAATCTACTTACTATGGTCCAAAAAGCAAGCACTTGTTTTAATTAAAACTAAGCTTACAGAACTGTAAATGCCTATCGCCGTCGAATCATTTACTGTGATAACCTTAGCACAGCATCCCTATCACATACACCAGTGGCACATTCCTGAACTAAGTACATGGAACTAAGACCTTTTCCTTGTTGGAGAAAAGATGCCATTCAAAAGGTAACATCTCAGCTCAAGTTTGGTAAGCTCACAGTCTAACCAAAACAATCTTATACAGGTTTGATGACATGCGGGACAAACTCGGTGATTTATGATTCTCCTTGATTTACTCACCTTGAGTTACAAGGAGAAGGGTTCTACAGATCACTTGCTTCGTTAGAACTCTGAACTGAACTAATAGAACTTTCCTTCTCATTCTATCCCTTTATCTTGACTTCTCTCTCTTCAATCTTCTCATACAAAACCATCCTTTCTTTATATCACCTTCTCTAGATTTCTTTGGCTATTGAATTATAATATACTGCAACATAAATAGCACCATACCTTTCCTGCACTACTTCCAACAGCCATTAAGAAGCCCCCGTCACCATCAAACTCTAGTGCTGTGACCTCCTACAAATATAGAAAGTTAGATGTCAATTACAAAACAAAATTTACAAAGAAATTTAAATCCTCAGATTCAACTATGACATGTAAACAAGAGACTGTTAGATGTTTCCAGATCAAATGAAACTTCTAAAAGCACATAAATGGTTAGCAGCCACATGCACAAGATTGTGATCCATCATATTTTCCTAATAACAGTTTCAGCACTTCTAGTGTAAATAATCATATTATCATAACTTTTAACATTGAATATAAATGACTAAAAAGAAATAATTCAATATAACTTTAGTATAAATTATGTAATCGTAATAAAATAATTATAATAGCAGGCTTCCTACTACAGGCTAAAACACTATCCTAGTTTTGGATCCGCCGGCTGCTCTGCACCGCTATCCGGGATCGACAAGTTAGGGCACAAAATAGTCTATTGTTACAGAGAAAAACGCTACCTGGTCAACATCACCACTAGGTCCGACAGCATCAATTCTACCAACAGAAGATCTCACTCGTGTGTCAAAGCATTCCACAGCACCATCTTCACCCCCACAGGCAACTAATCCATGTAGCTTGCTAAAATTCAGGTAAGATTCAAGTACCACTAATTCAATACAGGGTACATAAACAAACATGAAAAGCTTTTATAAATGAAGAAAATAAAGCAGGGAAAATCAGTATTTGAGTTCCACTACTAACCTTCGACAAACTACATTCAATGCAGGGGATTGTGTATTAAGGGAGGAGAGAAATCGCCCCTGACAAGTAAGAAAAGTAGGCAAACATTGACATGAAAAATCAAATATGTTTTCTTGTATAAAAGAGATGCAAATTGCAAGATATAGAACAAAAGTTGCCATGTATTATTAGAATAGCATTCATTGCTACTAGCTGCTAATCTGTCATTTACTTACTTTTCTGCTATTCTTTCAAGCTTACTTTCTAGAATGTTCTGCCAATGCAGCGGCTTGTGATAGGAGCAGTTACAACAGCTCCCTCAACTAGTTACGGGGGTGTAGATTAACCCCCTTTGATTGGTGTAGGATAACAATGGATATAAATATCCTTGTAATCAGTTTTTCAGATAGTAAAAATACGATTCTATTTTCAGCGAGATGAAATCACATCTCATTACTGCTATGTATATACCAGACAGGGAATAACAAGAGCCATTCAGAAAAGCTTAGTAAGGGTCTATTCCAAATTATCAATAAAATTAATTAAAAAATAATTTTAACATGGAGTAAGATTTAAAGGATAATCATACAACAGCTCTCCATGTCTGATATTTTCTTTTTCTCCAAAATTTAACCGAAATTCCAGATCATCTATGAAAATAATTAGAAGATAATTTAAACATGAAATTGCATTTTAAGGATAATTATTATACAACAGGTTTCCATATTTAATAATTACTTTTGCACCAAAATTCAACCAATCTGAAAAAACATTTGTATGATACTGATGATGCTATAATAATAGCAAGTTAAAAGCTAAACACCTGCTCTAAGTTGATTCTGTACAGGTCCGGGGAAGAGGCGGCACAAAGCAAGTCACAAGACCAATCGTCATAAGTAATATCCCTTCCCATCCTGTCACAAGAGAACATCAAGTTGTGTTACCACACTTGTAAAGTTGACCCCCAAAGAAATCTGATTTTATCAAGGTAGGGTAACGTAAAATGCATGTTTATCCAAATAATCAGTTGCATCTATTCATAAGAAAACTGGAAATACATGAAGAAATGCATTGACCAAGTATTACAAAGGAAATTATTTTGAAAGTATGGGCTAATAATTTCTATTGAGTGATATTTTAAGTAAAGTGACTTAAGTTATCAACAATATAGTAACTACTCCATGATATGAACAATTTTGAATGAATGTAGTTTTCAACTGATAACCATGAAGTGCAGCACAGCAGAATCAAAACCATCACATGACGAGGAATTGATTTCTCACAAATGATCATAACTAAAATATCAAAGTAACTAATAGGTACTAACTACTGCAGAACAAACATACACTTTGCAGTAGACCAAGCTTCTAACCAAGTACTTTCAAATCTTTCACAGAGGGATAAGAAAATCCAATCCACAACTTTACTACTTTTCTACAATTCTGTAATTGGATCCACAGCAAAAGAAAAATTCTGGATAATAAATCATAATCCGGAGGAAAGATATTATTATATGCAACTAGTATATCAGAAGAACAATCACAACCATTTATGTAACATCCAAATATACTTGTTTTGTTCACGATCTTTCCCACCTTTAAGTTTGAGCTATCAAATGTGGTTTTGTTGGATATTCCAAATTAGAAAGAAGAAAAATACCACTATTATGCTCCATTCATTTATTGCTACAACATCTGTAAATATCGTATCCTTTGAAGAAACTCCATATTTCACATCTTCCTTGAAAGAATATAGTTCTTATAATGTTCCACCTGTTCGACTTACGCCCATTTCATTCTATTAAGCAAGAGCCAACTTCCCCTCTCAGCCTCCAATGAAGTTGCTCCTGGAAAACTTTGATTCAAGTCCTTTCCACAAGGTTCTTGATCCAAATATCGAGGAAGCTCACCACAAATTAAAAATGTACTATTCAATTAAAAGTGGCTACTGCAGATCTTCCTAAAATCAATATCAAGTGATCCATCGCTCATAGAAAACGTACTTTATAACTCAGAATCCTCATATACTTATTTATAATTTCTCAAGTTATCATTGTTCATCCACAACTAAAAAAATATGTAATAAACAAATTCACCCCTTCAGTCTATGAAGGCCAAGTTCAGTACAAAAACTAATGAGTTAAACTTTGCATGGCAATTGACTTCAACATTAATATCTTTAGTGTATATGAAACCTAGATGCTCCACAAAACACGTCAGTGTGTGATAATTAACTTTTTTTGGGCATAAAACAGACTATATATTTCAAGAGCAATATATATTATAGATACATAAAAACCTAAGGAAGAAACCTTGGAATTCGCAAACTGTAGTGCTTTCCATATTTTGCATGTAGATTAACAGAGCGATCAGCACATAAAAATGCAAGTTTTGAATAGTCATCAGATAAAACCTACACCAGAAAAAAAAAATTACGTTATCAAATAAAGATTACAGATATATAGTATATAAGTAAACTCAAGTCTACCGCCCAATTCATCTGTAAAGGATTTTTGTAAACACAAATGAAATATTAATATCAATGGAGAACACTAATATCAATTGTAAACTTAAAACACGTTGATGGAGAATTGGCAACTAGTGCCACATGAACCAATTCAGCCATTATTTATAACTAAAGGTAATGAAAGTACCTGAAAATCAATGATCTCTGAATCCAAATGTCTTTCAAACTTTAGTCCCAGCTCCCTTACCTCATACACTTTTACTTGCGGCGGATATATACCTTCAATATTGAATCAACACGAATGCCATGAATTTTGACCTAATATATATCATTCCTAACTTACGACAATGTGTATGGTTTCATCAAATCAAATACTTAACAAATGCAGCATATTAGTGTACAAAACATATCATCCTCCGAATTAATCGGTACTAGCGCACCTGAAGCAATGACAAACTCGCCATCAGGAGTTGCTTTAATCTTTGTTGTTGCAGTAGTGAACCTCAAGTCTTCAATAAGCTGCACGTTTTGAGTATAACCTAATGGAAATTGAAAACAAAACAAATAGTGAATAAGGGAAAGGGAAAAGGAAAAGGAAAAGGTGAAGAGAATTAGACAAGTACTTTTGACAGGGCGGTGAGATTGCTGCTTCTTTGTTGGAACCCATGAAGCAAGTGAGGGTTGCTGTGAAGCTATTGTGTACATTTTTACACCGTTAATAGATGATGACTTGATACCGCCATCACGAGTCGCCATTGCTGATGCTGATGCTGCTGCCGGAGAGGGTTCGACGGCGGTGAGTGGCGGCGTTCGGGTTTGTCAGGTGAGTGACGAATGAATGATTTCTGTTTGAAATTATTAGGGCCGGTTGGTTAAATTGTGTATTTTAACGCGGGTTACCGGTGACCCATACAACTAACCCGATATTTAAATGGGCTTTCGTCTATCATATATTTTAAATGAATAATTAACTTAATTATAATTTTAATCTCCTATTTTTACTTTTTATTTTTTATTTTGATCTTTCCATTTTAAAATCATGATATTTGATCCTTAAATTATGTTTTATTGAGGATTTTAATCCCTTTCTAATTTAAAGTTAAATTTTAATGATATGGCAATTGATCTAATGAAGTGTCAATGCCACCTATGTAATTTTTAATTCTTATTTATTTTAACTAATTCTTAATTATAATTTTATTTTAGAAAATTTAAAAATTAACTATTTAAAATTAGAAAACAAAATTCTGTTATACAAAATCATCTTTTAAATTCTTAATTATGAACAAAATATAAAAATTTCAATTTAGATAGGTTTATAATTTAATAAGCTGATTCTAAAATAAGTAACCGTATATTAAAAAATGCAAAGTATAAAGCAACAGAGGTAGTGGATATGATAGAGAATAAAATAAATGCTTTTGTTATATATATATATCATTTACTCCTAGCATAAGCGGATGGTGTATTAACTAGCAATCATTGGGAATGAGTTCAAATTTGATGTACAACATAATTTTGTTTTCTTATTTTAAATAGTTAGTTTTTAAAAAAATTTAAAATAAAATTATAATAAAAAATTAGTAAAAATAAATAAAAATTAAAAATTGTACACTTCATCAAGTTAATTGTCATATCATCAAAATTTAATCATTAATTACAAGGGGAGCTAAAATCTTCAATAAAATATAATTTAGGAATTAAAAATCAAGATTTTAAAATAGAGGGATCAAAATCAAAAAAATATAAAAATTAGAGAATTAAAATTACAATTAAGCTTAAATAATTAAATTATTTTCATTTTTACTTTATTTTTTAATATCTGAGAAATTAAAATTAAAATGATTATGATATATAATATATTTTTTCACATTTCATTTTATTCTTTTATTTTTAAATGATTTAATAAAGAAATTGTTTGAGTTTATTATGCATCTATATAAAATTATTAAAACGGATTATCTGTTATGTTAAAAAAATATATTTTAGTATAAATTTGAAATATATTATTTAAATTTGTCTTTATGTGGGTTGTTATTTGTTAGTTATCTAACTTTAAATATGTTTAAAAAAATTTAAAATAAAAAATAAAAAAATCTTAGAATAATTATTATATATTTAAAATATAAAATATATTATTTTAAATATTGTATATCTTAAATACTATGTTTTAAAAAAATTATAAAATGTTTTTAAATTTAAAATTATCTATAATAATATATAAATATTCAACATAACATAAATTAATAAAATACAAAAAAATTGTAAAGTGAAACGTAAAATAATTATATATAAGTTTAATTATATTAATGTTTAATATTTTAGATAAATATTAAATAAAATAAAATAGATAAAACTCAGTTACATTGGCTAAATATGTTACTTGCGATTCATATAACGAGTTTTGTTGGAGGGGGATAAAAGTCTAAAAATTTAGTCTTACATTGCAACATTTGTCCCTTCACTTGTATAATTTATAAGAGTGGACAATTACGCCCTTGTATAAATAGTTAAACTTGACCATTTTTTTTCTTTTTTTTAAGTGATTTGGTCCACAAGTGAAAGTTTAAACAATTTCACATATTAGTGTATGTGTTGGAACACTTACAAGGAAGCAATTCGGTCATCTGAGAATGTCTTATGCAGGTGATATCTTCCAATAGTTTTGATGGCGACAAATAAATAAGAAATAAATATTTAAAGTCTCATCAATAAAGAGGCAAGTACAAGATAGAATGTCTAAAGTTTTAAGTTGAAAGTGCTAGATAAAGATTAATCAAGCAAAAGAATTTAAAGTTATGAAGATTTGGACTTGAAGTCGTGAAAGTTTCCCTGATCTTGTGCTTAGTGTTTTCTCTGATTTTCTATTGGTTAATTATAAATGAAGAAATAGTAGGTCTTAAGGTGCTAAGACAATGCGCTCACATAAAACATATTTCAAGCTTCTCATATTTTTTATAAAATTTCTCAAAACCAACCCAGACAAGTGCTTAAACGACTAACAAAACTTGTTTGATTAATTAGGAAGGAAAAATAGATTACTTAATTGATTAAGTATTGCTTCTAATAGATTAAAACAAAGTGAAATGCCTCTTAATCAATTAAGTGACGTCGAAATTCAAAGTTTTCTTTTTTTATGTGAAACTAATCAATTACCACATTAATTTAATCAATTAAAATGTTAACAATAACATGGATTGTTGTCTTTCTAAGTCAAATTTTTTAGATAAATGAGGTTTCTCCCCATTTCAAAATACATCAATTTTATAAATAGAAACTCACTAGTATATTTCTTTCTCTCATTATTTCATAAAGTTCCTTTTTGCTGTCATTGACTTAGTATCAAGAAAGTGAAAAGTTTTATATGAGAGTTGTGTTTTTGTGGTGTTATGATATAACTATTTATTCAAGAGTCTGGGTCTCTTGTGATCTCTTTATAATAGATTTAAGAGTTGTAAGCTAAACTTGTAAAAAAAAACTTTGGTATAGGTTATTTAGTTGATATAATGTAAAAGCTCTAGTTATTTATGGTTTTTAAGTTGTGCTTGTGAAAAATCTTTGATTGTTTGTGGAAGTTTTTTGGGTTGATCATGTGCAACAGCTCAAGTTGTTTAGTAAAGTTGTTTGGGTTGATCTTGTGAAAATTTTCACGATTGTTTTAGTTGCAATCACAAAGGAAAACTCTTAGACATTAAAGTAGGTTAAATGATTTAGGGAGAACTAGGATAAAACTTTAGCGTGTTATCTTATCTCTATCATTTATCTCTTTTATTATTGTTATTTATTTGTATTTCACTGCTTATTTCTTTGTCTTTTTGATTTTCTAGTATTATGCTACTTCATCTCTTTTGTGTTCTATCTTCTAACAAAAATCATTCTAAATCAAAGTGTTTTTATAAACTGGTTTTTGAATTTTGAATATCACAATTCACCCCTTTTCTTGTATTTTGAGTCATTTGGTCAACACGCATATCACACAAGTTACATCTTTGATGTGAATTCTTTGATATGATCCATCTCACGGGTTGTATCTCCTGGCATCCCTCAACTTCACTGCGAGCTTTTTTATATGAGTCATCTCATGAGCCTCATCTATTGGACCAATATTACATTCAAGACCTATCTCATTTTCTTAAATTCATTATAAAGTCAACAAAATATTCAAGTTGTGAGTGATACAAATGTTAACAAATAGATCAAGAGGTTCATAACAAATAAACCAATTGAAATGGGATGGCTACAACTATCATTGATTTTATACATATTTTATTAAAGTGTTCATGTGACCAAGTGAATGTATATATTTCCATATGAAGCATTGCATCTAAAGTGTACACTATTTTAGATGGTATTTCTTTCAGAGAGAAATGTGGTGTCATGTGATACGATCATATAACCAAAATACATATAACTCATATTGGCGACATCTTAAATAAAATTTTACTAGATAAAGATCATTAATTCTAAGGAGATTTAAAAAATTCAAATGATACCTCATATAGTTATTTTGCCAATATTCCCTTAGCCTCTTTAAATTTCTTCTTGATTTTATAGAGGATGATCTTGTTGGTAATTCATCTTGTCCATTAACTTGTGGGTGTTTGATCGAAATGAAATTGGTATAGATTCCCAAATGTTGGAAAAAAACTTCTAATTGTTGAGATGGTAAGCTAGGTTTCATAATATAAGATAATTCACTTTTGTAGTCCAAGCTTACAGATGATTCACTTCTAATAAAATCACATGACTCTTTTAATAGTGAATTTTGACACCGCCTCTACCTTAATCAACTCAATGATATAATCTACACCCACAAGTAAGAATTCCAATTTCTCTAGGTTCAGGTGGAATGATCCCAGAATGTCATCTTGATCCAGATCTTAAAATCATACTATTTTTATCTCATTCATCCCAGGAATCCTTATTTTATGTAGAATCGTGTATTATTCTAAGATAAAGCAAGATTGCTGCAAAACTATAACGGAATTGTGAAATCATTAATTTTTGTGATCATGGTCATTTCGGCCATGATCTACAGTTTTTCAACCACCACCAACACAAGCGTAAAAGAAACAAGTAAGCGATAAGGTTATTAAATTGATAACCTCAATTGAGTTATGACGTAGGTATGAGAATCGTTGGTACTTGTCGCATATCTGGACAAAATATGAGTAGTCTATTACCAAATGTGGCCAATAGTACATGGCTCTTAATAGCTTGTTTGACAACCGTTGGTACTTGTCGCATATCTGGACAAAATATGAGTAGTCCATTACCAAATGTGGCCAATAGTACATGGCTCTTAATAGCTTGTTTGACAGTGCTTTCCCCCGTATATGGTTGCCACAAACACCTTCGTGCACTTCCATTAATACAAATGTCTTTTCATTATCCCAGAGACATGTTAACATTGACGTGACTCTTCCTATATTATTTAACTTTTATGTGACCAAGGTGTATTTTGTAGAGAGATTTTTTTTCTCACCTCCTATTCATTTGAGGCAAAATGTTTTCTTATTAAATGTTGTATAATATGAGTCATTATGTCTTTGTCATCACCTGCTTTATCGATGGTGTTAATTGTGAACCTTCATTACTAAGGGCAAACAATGTTTCATGTATCACTATTTTTTTATGCCCTGGTTTCTTTGTGCCGGCAAGCTTAAATAAGAGATCTTCTTAAGACCTTTATTCTCTAAGTACGTATGTTAACACACAAAAACTAAAATGCTTATCCAACTCCTAAACCTTCTGTA